ATCCTATCCTATCCTATCCTATCCTATCCTAATCTATCCCATCCCATCCACAGCTTGCGTACATAGCCTGGAAAGTAAAATTATAAAATGCAGCTGAGAGTAATTATCGTCTGTGAGTAGAGCTTACATCTTCTTGATCCTGTCTGCCTTCTGTTACCGCACAGACCACTAGGAAAACTCGACAGGGACCTTATTTTAACTATTGTAATTACTTCCTCAACAGTACTAGCAATAAAACAAAGTAGTCTACTAATACAGCCCATGAGACTGGAGATACATGTTTCTAAAAAAAAGTGTACTTCCAATGGTTTTGCTGTCTAAAGGAAGGTTTAAATCCATAGATAGAAATAGAAATTATCCTCCTCTTAAAAGTTTTGATGTTTCCATGACAACACTTTTTTCAAGCAATCTGCTCAGGGTTGCTAGTTTTTCTCTCTGTATGTCCTTCTCTCTTGGCCTTCTCCTCCTCGCCACCAATCTGCACAGCTGAGGGCCAACATCTGCAGCTCATTTTAAGAGCACTCTCTGTTTCCCCTGAGCCAGCACAGTAGCATTAAATAGTAAATCTTCTGGTTCAGCAGCCAGTTAAGGTTACCTACCTCCACAGCAAAAAAAAGGTTATTTTATTTACAGTACTTAAGCTTTTATCATGAAGACATAAAGATGCTGACAGCTTTGTTAGGGTACAGAACATGATTGTGTACAAAGATCTGAGATATATATATATATATATATATATATATATATATATATATATATATATATATATATGTATATATATATATATATATATATATATATATCAAATCTTTGTACACATTTCATAATCTGGAATATATATTTCATAATCTGGAAATATAGATGATCTGGAAACATAATAAGTATTTTCCCTTCAAAAGGATGAGTAGATATTGTACACTTAAAATTTTAAAATTTGGGTTTTTATTTTTCTAATTTTAATGTAAATAGTTTTATTCCAATGGCAAAATGTCTTATTTAAAAGTTGAAGTCAAAGAAAAATGCAGTTATTGCAATAAAATTGTGCATATTTTTCAATTTTGATGATGATTTTTGTTTGCTATTAACCACAACTAAAAGCTGCTCTGTCTGCTTTGATTGGAAATTAACCCTCTTACATTATGTAACTCTCTTATAGAAATCAAAATACCTTCAGTTTCCTTTTATGTTTTTTTTTTTTAATCAATGCTTGAGTTTTTTTTACTGAAAATAATAATTTACAAAGATTAGTAAATAACCAACTAAAAAAAAAACCTTAGTTCCTACAACTTGTTAAAATATCCTTTAAATTTAGATTTTAATAGCCTACCTCATTCAAATCTCTGAGGCAGTCTAAACTGTTATTGTATTAGAAACAATAGGTTAAGCAAAAGGTTGGGACTGCTGAGAATATGACTCTTTTGAAAGTACAGCTTAAAAGTAGGATCAATCAGACGATACACAGCCAAAACCCGATCACAGAGATGCAGTTAAAAAATGTGACTGAACTGATCCAAATGAGGAAATTGATCTTTTGAAATTTTACAACATATATCCCATTTTGTCAAACGTGAACATTTATAAAAAAAATAGTACAAACAATTAATCTAACACAAAGTTTAAAAGTTGTTGAAATTGCTAGTTTTAAACGTTTAAAAAATGCAATAAATTACTATATTGAAACGCTGCGGTCTTACCCTTATAGATGAAGTTTCCCCTCCTGTCTTCTTTTTGCTTCTTTTCTCTTAAAATCTGAATGTCACTCTCCAAATCTCTGCCTCTGCCACCTGTTGTCAGGTCAGAGCTACTGACTCAAAGATTCTCCACAATCCCTGTGGCTTTTTCTGTCTCTCTCTCTTTCTGTCCTTACTTAAATGTTAATTTTTCCCCAAATGCCTCTGGGCCAATGGGTAGTCAGTCTGGGAGTGTCTCTACTCCTCTAAGCGAATGAATAAGGAAGATGAAGGACTTCAGCAGGGGGATGGAAAATTCACCTCTTATTTATTTTTCTGGGAATGACTACTCTTGACCTGTGTTTCATTGTAGTGAACAGCAACAACAAAAAAGAAAAAAATCAAGAGGAGACTTACTCTCTATCATAGTAAATTAATACTGTACTAGTTGAAAGCAGTGAGGTTGAAGTGAGATAAACCCTGATTTCATTCATGATAAAATACTCCCCTGGGGAAAAATATTTATCAGCATCAGCTTTCCCTCCTGAAATCACCATCATCACTTAGGTGAAAGCGCTGCTGTTCTCATGAATAAAAAAAAATCTAAATATTTTTAAATAAATATTTTCTCCATGCAAAAAATGTGTCTTTTGTTATTCAAATGGAAATAAACGCTCTCTGAAGACACATCAGGACTAAATGCTTCAAGTTAATAGAAAAAAGCACCAACTTCAAAATCGAACCTCTTTAGAAAAAAGGACAAATGCAAAAAAAAAAAAAAAAAAATGTAAATAAATGTTAGATATATAGGGCTGGGTAAAGATAACAAGTTTTCAATTTTTTGGCACCACTGCTGTAAATACTTTTACACAAAGATGCTTTGAAATTTGAAAGGACAAATAGGAAGCACTGGAATTGATTCAGTGACAATGTATGGGTCATATGCTGAGCCAGGTGTCTTTAGTTTTACCTATGGACCCAGTTGTGACTCATACTGTTTCTTTTTTCTCTTTCTTAAAATATGATAGTGTGTTTGAAATCTGTACCACAGGTCAAATATATGCACACACATCTGTGAGAAAGATCATTCAAAGGCATCATTTTAACTGTAATCAGAATGATATTTTATTTAAACTACACATTTCTTGTGTAGTTTAAAAAAAATATTCTAAAAAAATGTTGCCATTCCAAAAAAGTTAAAAAGCAATCAACTGGACTTTGATTCAAAGTTTGAAGACTTTTCACTTCCTACCCAGGAAGCTTTTTCAATTCAAAATGTCAGAATAAGCATTGAGTTTAAGGCTTTATAGAGTGGACCGAAAACAAAGCCTTGATTTGGCGTAGAAAACATGCATATTGAACCGGACGAAAAGGGTCCGCCCCTTAGGAATGGGGGTTGTTTGGGTTCTTTATTAGCCTGCAATAACAGATACCAGTATATGTCTCTGAACGGGGGGTCGTTAGAGGGAATTGTTTGCTTGGCTGAAAAGGCAAGATGTTCTGGTCCCCTGTAAGGGGGTAGGGGTTGAGACGATAGCGGGAAGGAATCAACCTGAGTCCACCCCCTCTGTTTAAGGTTGTTTTTTCTTTCTTAACACAGATGGCTTCCTTCACACCCCTCTCAAACCACCTGTCTTCTTTGTCCAAAATGTGAAAAGTCTGGTCTTCAAAGGAATGTCCTTTGTCCATATTTCTTACAGTTTATTTTGTATTTTCTGTAAGTATCATGTTGCTGTTGGTTTTAAATGCATTCCTGAAGGATACTGCAAATTTAAAGGACTGCCAGATATTATATAGAGAAAAAAAATATTGTACTCCACCTTGAAAGTAAATGGTATCATTAATAAAGCTTAAGTAATTTTGTTTTCTGACTCACTTAACATAAGATTTTGTTTTATATTTTCTATTCCTCTCATTTTTATGGATTTTTTAGGCAGCCTTATATCAGTTTCCATTATGTCTTTATTAAAAACTTTGTTGCCAATGATCTTGTAAGTGGGAGATCTTTACTTAAATGCAAACATTTGCTCTTACATTAAATCATTGTCTTCATAGAACATCCTGAGCTGTTCTGTCTGATCTTTAATTATACTCACCAAACCCATATCTGTTATAGAAATATTCTTGCTGGCTAGACTTACCATAAACAGCTATTTTATCTGTAATGACACTGTAATGTAGTACAAATTCTACAAGGTATGTCTTTTAAAGATTTGAAGAACTTATAATTTTATTAAAAGCATGACCAGACAACAGTCAGATAAATAGACCATGGATGTTGGGTACTGTGTTATGATAACAAAGTCTTGTTTGTTTAGTTGTTTTTTATGAATTTGTCCTTTATACATTGTTTGGGTGCAAAACCACAAGTTTTCTCTGTACGATGTAGAGAAGGCTATGTTTTCAATTTATTCCATTTAAACAATGCCTTACTAATTCCATCCATATTTACTTTGATCTTTTTAATTTTCCCATTTTTAAGCTGTGATCTTTCACATAGGGTTGGACTTAGCAGTAGCCAGGGGCTTTTCTTTGATTTGTTTTTAAATAATTTGATTTTTTTGAAAGCAAAGCACAAAAACAAGAAATGTATGCTTAATTTTGCTGTGACTTGTTTCAATTTGTTTGATTCTCGTGTAGATATATAACGCTCCACCCTGCAGGGGTTGTTGAGTCCATTTTTATGAATGTTTATATGGATGAAAACATTTTATGAAACTGATGCTGTGTTAAAGAGCAAATGTTCTACAACAGACAAAGAGAAAGATGATTTCTAAACAAATATTTTCATATACGCAAGGAATGAAAATAATATTATAGTTTCCATGAGTATAACACATTTTTGCAAGTCAACCAAACTGGCTTCTCCAAGGATGCTGGGATACCTGCTACAAGGTATCCCAGCATGTATGGGGCTCAAGCTGAGCTCACTGTTGTCAAAATGTATGGAATTCGTGTTAAACATCATCAGCAAAAAATATATATTTTTTTTTTATTTCTTTGTAGAGTTGAAGATAGTAAGACTCCTTTTTTAATCTCAAGAAATGAGTGTACTTTCCCTTTAATTACAATTTGGGTCTATAATTTGAGTACATTTGAAAAGAAAAAGATGTTAAATGTCAATTAGCACTCACTTGTAATTACTGATTGTTTTAGCCTTAATTCATTAGATGCAGCAATACATAACTTCTGTTTATAGAAAAATACATTATAGCAGATGTCAATCTGATTTCATCAGTTTCATCTGCTTATCACCATTTTAATCTTTCCTTTAAAGGAATAAGTGCTGCAGTGGGTAGTGCTGCTGCCTTCGAGCAAGAATGTTCCGGGTTTGATTCCTTGCCCTGGGTCTACGGCTTCCTCCCACAGTCCAAGAACATAACTGCTAGGTTAATTGGCTTCTCTAAATTCTCCTTAGGTGTGAGTGTTTGCATAAATGGTTGTGTGTGCTGTTTGTCTCTGTGTTACCCGTCATGACCCCAGCAGGGATAAGCATGACAGAAAATTGATAGATGTAATAGTGCTTATGGTTGGCAAGTTGCAGGTTCTTTAATATCTTACATTTGCTAAATATTTGTATTTGTTCTAAACAAATACTCCACATTGAACAATGGAGCACAACTGACATACAATTTTACTGCTTAAAAGTGAGCATACTATACTTTATACCAGCATTATATTTACTAATTTACTGATATTTCTATAATAAAATTTTAACATTGTATTCTACATACTGTATACTGTAATCTTATACTGTATCCGGTTGTTTTAGTTTGTTCCCTTTCTTTAACATGACAGAAAGGTTTGTATAAGTAGAATAAAACGACTGTTGGAACAATTGAACTTGCAGAAAAGGGAATGTGTAGGTGCACATTTAGATATATTCATAGACTTACTGTCAAAGAACTTCTGTGTGGTAGAAAACCTATTTACAGTGCTCTGTGGAACAATAAGAAACTATGTCATGCAAGTCTCTGTGTCTAGAGAAACACATGGATATTTCCTATTGTGTGTGTTGGTTTCATCCCATGCTGAGAAATCGTACCCCACACAGATGTTACAGAACTCTTCTCAGCAGGGTGACCCTTATATTATGTTTTCTTTAAAGTTATGCATGTCTGCGTGCAGCTTCCTTTCCCTCCTGGGCAGAAGACAAACTTTCAGATGTTATTAGAAGGGCCCACACACACCTTTTGATTTACTTTCCTTATTCATTCCTGCTTCTTTGGGGTTGGGGGTGCAGTTTGTAGAAAAAAAAAAGCTTTTATTTCTTTTTTTTAACAAAATCAAATTGCAAAGCAGGACACATAAAGGTCAGGATTGTTGCTGAATACCTTCTGGCTAATCTCATTGATTTAGCGTGCATAAAATAAGCAGGTGTTGATTGAATGTATTTGCATCTGTCAGTTTATGTTATTATTTGCTGGACTGAAATACCTATTAGAAGATAGAAAGAGTGACTTTTATTTTTAAAATACCTTAGGGCATTTCATGATTAAAAACAGAGTCTGTTTTTTTACTGGGCTTTAGTTTGTTTTAAACAGGACTATGAAAACTTTTTGCCAAATAAAATAAACAAAGAAATAACAAAAATTAAAAGGCCATCAGATCCACTGGTACTTCATACACGACTAGACCAAGGGACGGCTGCTGCAGACGGGCTAATATTACCCTGGCTGCGGTTAGCCTTCAAGGTCCTCTGGTTGCCATGGTCCTCAGTATCTCTGTTGACAACTTCTTCAATTATGCACTAACTCAGTAAATGGACCATAGCGTTAAGCTTGAAATGATAATGTTCTCACCTCAAATGATCTTAAAACATAGTTTTGTTGAACAAAAGCAGTAAAAAGAGTGACATTTTATCTTAACACTCTGATTTCCATCAGCACTCCCTAGGAACCTAGCTGCTGCTGCAGTGCATTCTGGGACAGTGGTCAGTCTGAAGTTATCTGCTCTGATTAATGCTCTGGAAAGGATGATAACCACATTCGGGGATTTTATCCATTCTCTGTCTTATGTTCTTGGCAATGGGAACACTGCTGGTGCTGAGGCTGATGGCGTGTTAGAAAATCTATCAGAATATGCAATTATGTATTTTAAACAGCCTTTGACTTCTTCTTTAGTTTCTTTAATGTTGTAAAAGGCAGTTAGATCAGTATAGAGGATAGGCTGAATGCCTGGTT